TTCAATTCATCGATACTTGCTGGAAGTGCTGGAACATAAACTTGGTCTTTAACATAAGAAAAAGTCACACACAGTGAGGTTTGGAGATCTGGCAGGCCAAGCACAGAGAGCAAGGTCTTTAACACCTCTCCTCCCAATCCATCGCTGAGGCACGTTTTCATTCAGATAAGCTCTAAACCCAGAGATGCCAATGGGGTAGTGCTCCATCTTGCTGAAAAATGAAGTCATTCGAATCTGCTTGCAGTAAAGTGAATAGCCATTTTTGGAGCATTTCGAGATAGGTTTGACCTGTTTGTAGCTGCAGCGAAAGTTATACTAACGACAGTGGTGAGACTGACATCCAATCAAACTTTGATAACTACTCTATCAAATAACCACTGATTCAGTCCACTACAATGCTATAGATCTGAAAAAACAGCGTAATGATTTTGGCGTATTCTTTTTGAAACACCCTGTATATTTACTGAACTCATTTTCTATCCAACTGCAGATGGTTTGCTACCAGTACAGGTTCTGGTTTATTCTAATATCCTTCTTGAATATATCAATATTACGTAGCAATTCCAACAGTTATAACATATCAAATGGAAATTTGTAAATGTGTAGCAGAACAGGGATTATGAGATATAGCAAAGAGACAAACCTTACTAAGAGCAACAAATATAGGAAGTTGTAGAGAACCATGATAACACATATCCCGAAGGAACAAGTCATATAGAATAAAAAGCATTTTACAGTGTTGGACAAAACTACACCCAATAAAAACTATATTATGTTCAATTTCCTTATATCCTAGACCAGGGGTTCCCAACCATTTTTGTGCCCTTGCCCAGTTTCACATGAAAAAATTTCCACTGCTCATCTGAACAGTAAATATTCAAAAGTATACCAAAATTTTTTGGTAAAAGTTTGTTACTGGTTCGTAAACAGACTTTATTATGTAATAAAAAAAAAATATCTAAGGAGATAATAAATAATGTTTGCTTATGCAGTGGCAGTTGCTGCTACTACAGCATTAAAAAAAAAACAGAAGCAACCCAGACCATTGAAAAGTATATAGGAAATACCAAAATATTCCTTGTTTGTGGGAGATGTTTATAGCTTATTTAGGAATGTGACCCAATTATTCCTATTAGTTCATATAAATTATGACATGGACAAAGTCCGACAATTATTTTAAGACATTTCTATGTTTATACATTCTTTTTATAGACACAAATATTTAAGTAAATGCTCTGTTTATAATAAACAGTATTAATAACATTTACCAGCCTGAATGTCTGAGAAATTTTCATACAAAATATTTGTCCTCCAACAGGAATTGAACCTGTATCCTGTAACCGTCATATAGCCTAACGTGACTTAACCAATTGGACCACAGAGGATTGTATGGTTAGCGAGGTCAATTTTACTGCTTTTAAATTAAAATCTTTCATGAATCTCTCACGTACGTTCATATCTGCTCAAAGCGTATGCAAATGTAAACAAATGACGTCTCACATTATTACTCTCCTGCACCTTATATGCCATATGTAGGTCTAAAATTACAATAGTTAGCCGAAATTATCTACCTGGCAACTCCTATTAGCTTAGACTTTAGAGTAACTTTTACATACATATTGTCATTATTTAAAAGGCTATTAAGCAGATTAAAAGTGTTATTGATAATATTCATTATATTACTTTCATTTTGTTAATTCCTTATTAATATTAGATTTTCACATGCAAGTCTAAGTATATTTTTGATGGATTCATTGATTTGTTTTTTATGACTTATCAACCCTTTACAGGTTATTTAAAGCCAGAAAATATTTTCATATTGTAAGAATTTCTTTTTTTGTTTTGAGATAATAATGGTTTTAGTGATACAAGTCTTTTTAATCAACACTTAGATGGAGGGGAGGGGAAGAAGTGAATTTTTACCTTACCCAAGGGTATATTGCATGCGAGTGAATATAACAAACCCAACAGGAATTTGAACTCAGCTCACCGATTAACAATTTTAAGCCATTATCCATTACATCATTCAAGCTTACAGTACCTGCTATTCCCAAGTGGTTACCCTTTCTAAGTACTGACCAGGCTTGATGTTGCTTAACTTTGGTACGTTATGGAAACTGGTGTTTCAATGTTATGGGACCATAAGCCCATATAATCTTTTTTTTTTTTTTACTATTATTATGTTAATATGTAGTAATTTTGGGATTGGGATCAGTTTATTACGTTACGTCATGATAGTTCTTTCAAAAAGACTTCAACATCTGCAAAGTTCTTGCATGTAACAAAATTCATAAGATTTGGTGCTCAAACCTTCCATCCTCCAAACATTTCAAAAATTGATTGAACCAGTCCTATATTATCGATCAGAAACTTGGACATTATCTGCTTGTCTTGAAAGACGACTGGATGGAACATATACAAATCTACTTAGAAAAATCCAGAACATCAGTTGGGGATCCCATGCAACACATAACACAATTTACAGGGAACCGAGACCGATCTCTTTTATGCACAAACAAAAACAATTACAGGTTGCTGGCCATTGTCACCGAGCGGACAGGGAAATCATCTCATCCTTACTCCTATGGCATCTTTCAGGAAGTGTCTAACAAAAATTGACTTTCCCAGGCCCTATAGCTCAGGATTCAGGATTGGACATTGGGGAACTGTGGACAGCAATGGAGTACCGAACAATGTGGAAAGGGATTGTCAATGGAATTCAGACCAACCATAGGGAGGTCGAGGTCAAAGGATGATGATGATTACTTCATCATATAACACCCCCACTTTATGTCCAGTAAAATCACATTAATACTATTTTCTTGTTGCCATAAAAAATTATATATTTTAAGTCCTTACTATAAGATTGTTATGTATAATGTTTAGTTAAAATCTATGCATAAATAGTCTTTAAGTAAATACAGTTAAAGACTATAGTTATCACCTTCAACTACATTTTCCCCAATTATTTACGTTGAATTCTCACCTTCAAACATTTTGGAATGGTCCAATATTGTCAGACAGTTGGGCATGCAAGAGAGATCGAGTTGTCTTACTTGCACTCACAAGACTACAAAGTTACAAAGTATACCTGAATGTACATTGAAACATTACCCAAATTGCCTGTAAGTCTTGCTTGCTAATTAGTTACTGATAACCTACAATCATGGATTTTGAATTACCTTCAACTTGTTTATCTTGAAATCATCCAATGTGCAAGATTACTTTCTAGCTCTCGTATGCGTTGCTTTATCTCTCATATGACAGACATACAAAAATATATAAATAGATATAAGGGTTAGTTTACTTTCTCTTGCAAGATATACAGTGTTCATGTGTGTATAAGCAAGAGAAGGGAATTTGTTTTTTGTCTATATTTCCAAGATGAGATATACTAACTATTTACATCGTTCAGACTGTTGACCACATCAGGAGAGGTGAACAAAAAAACTGAAACTGAGATATCCATAAAAGGCATGGCACGTGGAATTAGAAAAAAAAACTACCCCTATGGATTAAATAAAAGTTTCGGTTTGAAATTCTAACATATCACCTGAAGAAAGTTGGAGCATACAGCGGCCAAAACATTGTGAATATGGCAATAAAGAAGAGGATAACAGTTTGAATGATGTAGTTTAAATAAATTAAAAAATTTTTCTAGAATTATTAATAATGCCATGTGTTATGGGACCTTACCCATAATAAGAAAATGGACTATTCTATACATAATAAATACTGCACCTCAAAAGGAAGCAGAGAGTTCAGTCTGAAGTCTGGAGTGAAGTCTGTCAGGAGTCTGTCAGTCAGAGCGAGCGAGTCAGTCAAGTCAGAGGTAGTCCAAAACAGAGTCACGTTCAAACAATTACTACTAAACCTGATTGTTCATACTAACACTTTCTACTTCTCTGTATATATTCCTGTTCGTAATATATCTGTGTTATTCCATATCCGTATTCGAGTTCTTCTTTATTGGTTCTACCTTGGGCTATCACCGTGGTACAAGGAACTGGACCATAACACCATGTCTCTTCAGGATGTTGGTAAACATGGCTCCTCACAGATTCCTTTTCTGGGAACTGGCACACATGCTTTGAAAAGTGTAATTTCCCGTTGCCCTCACCATGATTTGGAATTCAAAGTTTTCATTCTCTTAGACTAGTTGTAATGCAAGGCTAGAGAGTTCAGTCTACCCTGCCATTTAGCACATAGTTGAAAGGGAGAAGAAATGGATTTATGACTCCCTAAAAAGGTGTTTGTGCAAAAGTGATTGCAACAGACTGGCCTGAAATTGGAACACAACTCAACAATTCCATTGTCCATCGTCATTCATGTGCAGTGTGTCTAGGGAAGTAAACCTGCCGAAGTCCATCCCTCTCAGATGAAGCAACAGTCTTGAAGGCTCTCTTTGGTCACAAAGACTGATTGATTTCAGTCTAGGAAGCCCTCTGCTCAACGATGCCTTGTCATCAGCAGACTGACATCATACATATTCTATCCACTGTACTAGACAGCTGCAGACCCTACCAAGAATGGAATCTGCTCTTTGATAGGCCTTGCTTTTAATACTGTTGATTGGTTAAGCACCTTCTCATCAGTAAAGCCTAGTAAGGGGAGCCAATTTAGTATCTGATGACCTGGCCATATAGTTGTTAGTACTCTGTTACATGGTACAAACATGACTTTTAGAGTAACCGGACATAAACTTACATACTGAAATTAATAAAATTACTTTTTTTTTTTTTTTTTTACATTTCTAGAAGAAAGTAACATTTCATATTGAAATTTGTACAACAGATTTTTTTTTATTTAGTTTTATATAAAACCTTTTTAAGAAGTAAATAAAATTTTAAGATTTATGAATTTCTAAGTTTTTACATATTCTGTCAACTTAATTATGAAATGTTTTCTAAGTGAGAGCTACTATTTCCAGTTTGTGTATTAATTCCTACACTTGTACAATAATGCCCAACATGAGATTTTGAAAAGTAAAAGAAACTTACTTTTCCTGTTGTGTTTTACTTTTGTTTTGTCTTGCATTTCTGACCCCCATCTTTGATTTCTCCGATTTAAAATGGGAAGGTAGCTGGATATGAACTCTTCATGCAGTCTTTGGTCAAAGTCTTCATCATGTTCGAAACCATATTTATCGACATTGCTAAAACAGAAAACAAAACAAGACAAACAGAATTAATTATAATAGAAAAAGTGCCTAAGCACAGCACAACAGCAATAAAAAGACAAGGAAACAACAAAACAGTGAACCAACAACAACCAAAAAAAAAAAAAAAAAAAAAAAAACAAAAAAAAAAAAAAACAAAAAAAAAAAACAGAGCCAACAACAGCCAAAAAAAAAAAAGAAACAAACAAAAAAAAAGAAACAACAGAAACAATAACAACAAAAAAAAAAAAAAAAAAGCCAACAAAACCAAAAAAAAAAGCCAAACAAACAAAAAAAAAACAGAGCCAACAACAAAAAAAAAACAGAGCCAACAACAACACAACAACCAAAAAAAAAAAACAAAAAAAAAAAAAAAAAAAAAAAAACAAAAAAAAGAAACAGAGCCAACAACAACCAAAAAAAAAAAAAAACAAACAAAAAAGAAACAGAGCCAACAACCAAAAAAAAAAAAAGAAAAAAACAAAACAAAAAAAAAAAAAACAAAAAAAGAAACAACAACAACAAAAAAAAAAAAAAAAAGAAACAAAACAACAACCAAAAAAAACAAAAAAAAAAACAACCAAAAAAAAAAAAAAAACAAAAAAAAGAAACAACAAAAAAAGACAAAACTAAAAAAAAAAAAAAAAAAAAAAAACAAAAAAAACAGCAAAAAGTAAAAAAAAAAAAAAAAAGAAAAAAAAAAAAAAAAAAAAAAGTGAAAAAAAAAAAGAAAAAAAAAAAAAAAAAAAGTGAAAAAGAAAAAAAAAAAAGTGAAAAGAAAAAAAAGTGAAAAAAAAAAGTGAAAAGAAAAAAAAAGTGAAAAGAAAAAAAAAGTGAAAAGAAAAAAAAAAAAGAAAAAAAAGACAAGAAAGTACAACTGAAAAAAAATGAAAAATTCTAAACAAAAAATAAAAACACAAAACAAAAATAAAAAAACAGATTTCTTCATTCTAAATTAAAAGCTTAGAGTCTTACCAAAAGAAAAAAATATTTGTTTAATATCCAAATAAACAATGCCGATGTCTATTTACTGCAAGCTTGTCATGAAATTACATGCAAAGAAAAAAAATTAAAAAAAGTTTTTTTTTCATTATTCTAGATTTTAAATGTACCATCCAAGAATACATGCCATTAAGATTTGAACTGCAAGGAAATATTATTTTAGTTGAGAAAAGTATTAGAATAATCCAGAAGTTCTACTAAGAACAAACCTCATCTGTGTATCGATGACAAATGAATTCAGTAAATATGCAAAATTAGAAAATGACATAAGACAAGTATGCGTCTTCTCACCAGATTTATGCAACAAGGTTTTCCTAAAGAGCTGGAGACCTTACTGCGATTTATTATTGGTGGGCACAATTTTAACAACATAAGGTATGCCTGAATATACCACATCGATAGCAGACACAGAAAGAAAACTTCAGGAACTTCTAGACAAGTTAGTAAAAGAAAACAAGACAAATAGAACTAACCATCAATTGTAAGAAAGTGGTATGTATGGTTGTCAGCAAGAGAAATAACCCAAAATGCAAGAAATGAAATGGAGATGTCAATATCAAACTGGTTCAAATATCTTGGAAAGTGGTTGATGTAATGGAATGTCCCACACTCCTTATCGTGTATGTGGACTGACTATATTAGTAGCTATATATAGTGAGCACAGGGGTTGGCCCTTGTTTTCTAACTAGTTTCTGCATGTTGGACGAGTGTTTGCTGCTTCAGCTAAGTGTTAGATTTTATTTTATTTTGCTAAAAACTTTTTGGATTTTTTCAGTTTTTCTTTGCCTTTTCATTTGTGCAATTAGATTTATGTTTTTTTTTCTTTTCCTTTTTGTTTATTTCCTTTTGTTTATTTTTAATCCCCCCCAACAGTTTTATATTTCATTATCCTTTCTGTTTTTACTCTACTTTTTGAATTGCTTATTGTCTTTGGTTGTCCACATTTTTCTTCTGTTTTATTTTGTTTGTACTTATTGAAAAAAAAGTTAAAGAAAAAAGAAAACAAACCAAAAAAAAGAGAACAATTTATTCGTTTGGTCTCGGCCAAAGCTGGCAGAAGACATAAATATAAACACTTCAACACCAGTGTTACCAGAAAAAAGTGCATGGGCTGATAATAGGCCAGTTAAAAAAAAATGCCACCTATTATGTCAACCAAAGAGACAAATACAAGAATTTGTTTAAAGGAAACGAATTCCTTACGATGCATGAAGCACTAGAAGCAGTCAACACACGAACGATATCCCTGCTGACTTCTGACTCGGAAATTAATTGGCGTCAGCAGGGAAGCAATGGAAGACACTTTGAAAGTGTTAAATATCAATCCAAAGGTGCTGGCAAGTAGGACAAATGCTTTGTGGGACATCCTCCTACAAACAGAACAACAGGTGAAAGAACTGGTGGGCAGTATCCTGAACACCAAGGATTTACGCCTCCAAACAGAATACATGGGCACCCAGAGGACTAAAGTGACCATCCATGGGGTGCCAGTGGATATCTGCCCAGATAGAATGGGGGCATTTTTTACAAAATTTGGAAAGGTGAATGAAGTCAAGGTCCTCAGGTTTGTTGGTTGGATTTTATGGCATATCAACCACTGTAGGTCATTTAATGCTAAATTTATTTTTTTATATATATATATATATATATATATATATATATATATATATATACATAGAGACACATACACACAGTACTATTAAATGTATAGCTGGCAACATTATTTTTTCAAAACATTATCAGAGGCCTTGCTGTTGGATGTAGTTTATCGTCATACCCAGGATGTGGATGTAGTTTATCATCATACCCAGGACGTGGGTAAGGTCTGGAAAAAACTGGAAGTTCACTATTTGCCCATAGCTGGGACCCTAACAGGTGCTACTACCACGGTTCAGGGTGGACCTGGGAACACCAGCAATTAAGAGGTAGTTCTATGCTCCTCAAAATCTCCTGATCAGAGGCCTTGCTGTTGGATGCAGTTTAACATCATACCCAGGACGGAAGGTCCCCAGGAGCAAGGAGGGAATTGCCACTGGGGATATGGAGATATCGGTCACAGTGAACAGGAAAAACTTTAATGAAATCCCCAATATCCTGACCGTGTTGTTGGGCATGTGGAGCCTCAGGGGCACATGGCTAAGGAGTGCCCTGGGAAACATACACAATCTCCACCTCAGCTAGCAACAACAGCAGCAGTCAGAACGCCAGGAAAGGAGGGAATATCGAAGACCAATGAAGGGGAGTGGAAGGAGGTGAAAAACCGGAAAAATACGAGTGGACTGTCCCCTTCAAAACGGGAAGTTGCTCAACAAAAGCAGCAACCAACACAGCAGGAGCAGCAGGAAAAAAAAGTAAACAGCCCCAAAAGGAGGTGCAGACTCAAAAGAAGGGGCAGCAACAACAGCAACAACAACAGAAAGAGAAACAGAAAGAGAAGCAGCGAGAGGACACACACCAACAAAGGTGGACAAAATGCCTCCACTTCTGGGCAACATCTCTGAAAAGGTCCAGGGATTAGGAACAGGAGGAACCAGCGCAAAGGCACTCTGGCTGTAGTAGGGCAGAAAGAGTCATGGACAAAACCAGGTCACTCTCCGTCCCTGCTTCGCCAAGAGAAGATGAAGAATACATAGTAAAAACAAGGAGTCTCTCAGCTTCTCCTGCCTGTGTTCCCTCCCGCTCTTCGTCCAATTCTTCCCTTAGTTCTATTTCCACACCCCCTCATACATCTACTTCTTCCCCTCCTCACACCTCAAGGGAGAAGAAGAAAAAGAAACTCTTTCTCAGCCCGGAGGAAATCTGTAGAGGAGACAGGGACAAAGCAAAGAAAGGCCTGTCAAAACAAAAAAGGGCCCTTTTAGGGCTTCTATTAAAAATGGATACTATTGATGGCAAGTCAGTCGAGAATCCCAGGAATTTCCCCACACACACCAGGAGTCATTACCCTTATGAGGGATACTGGTGGATACCTCAAGGTATGGAGCCATACCCTAAAATAAGGGTGTTTGAATTGGACAATGCTAACTAGAAAAAGTGAGACATTTTTGTTCTGGGAGGGTCCCTGTGTTGCTCCATCCCTCCTTATATAGGGCAATTAAGTTAACATGCCCCACAGATGTTGGCGGCATTGTCCTGGATGGTCAGATGATGACAGAGTTTAGAAAAGGAAGCCTGGGACAATCCGTCAGGGTCTTATCCACTATAGATTTCTGGCCTGTATGTGAGTAGGTCTTTTTCTTTTCTAACTTTTCTATTTTTTCAGGCCTAATCGGTGTCTATCAAGATTAGGTCAGTTTGAATGTGAATGGCTTGAGGGATCGAGCAAGGCTGCTCGCCTGCTCCGTGATCTCATCTTTTGGCGTGGATGTCGCTACAATCCAAGAGACCCACTTTGTTTGCAACGTCAATGCTTGTGTGCTGTCTGATGACTTTGTTGTTTAATCAGCATATGGGAACTGACAGGCCAGAGGAGTCTCTTTGCCAGTGAAGTGTACTCTTGATGCAAAGGTAGACCTTGTGCATACCGATGCCGAGGGCCGGTTGATCGTGGCTGATACTGCCGTGAAAAGTGGTTCGTTTCGGGTCATTGCCGTTTATGTGCCCAACAAGCAGGAGGAGCAGGTTTTGTTTTTTCGGCGGTTGAGGCTGTTCCTGGTGGATTCAACATGCCTAGTTTTAATGAGGGACTGGAATGCCATTCTGGGCCCCAAGTTAGACCAGGGGTGGGGTGCTATCGGGAGAAGGGGCGATCATAGCCTGGTTGATCTGACCAACAAATTTGGTCTCATTGATAGATACCGGGTCGATCACACCAGGGGGAAAATGTGGACGTGGGCTCTTAATTGGCCTTCTGAGTGGGTAGTTAGCTACCTGGACA